GGTGGATCATGGGTGCAATGTTCTGCAGGCTGCTCCAAAATAAATGCATTTGTTTTACTTACATATATTATTTTTTCAAAGAAAGATGAACTTAGAAAAAATTTCTAACTAACTCCAACTAATTAATGCTGCTGCTCATAAGATAAAAGACCCACCAAACATGAAATATAATATTACAGTGCAAAAATCAAACAGACAATGGTGATTAAATCAATAGTGATAAAATAATAATAGAAAGTCCACTGTCCCAAATAAACGGTGATTCAGTGCTCCAATCAAAAACGGTGCCAAAACGAAATGGGTTCTTTAAATGATATGCCCACACCATCCTTGATCACCTTCCAGTGCAATGCATACTTACTAGATAAGATGGACTCTTGGCTTGTATGGCTTAAGAGTCAAACAAGGTTTTTTTGGTGAAGTGTGTTCCCCGGAATAAACAAGATCAGAGCAGAAATGCTTGCTTGACAATCTCCAACGACCAACAAATGGACAGATGAAATGCAAAAAACAAAGGGGGACACTAATAGTGTAGTACTCTTTAATTCAATTAAAACAGAAGTATTTCTGCACTCACATGTCACAAGACAAAAAAAGCCTTAAATTATGTAAAATGTGTGATTCCTACATCAATAGGTATTAGACGTGCAACACTTTGTAGCTCCCACATCAAAAGGGAATAGACCGGAAACTGTGCGGTTCCCACATTAATGGATATTAGACCATCAAGTATGTGATCCCACAACAATGGGTGATAGACTGACAAAGATGGCTCGTGCACTCCACTCACTGGGTGTAACGTCACAAAGCATTTGCCGGAACCGGAAATTACGTTGACGCGCTTTGCCCCTACTCCAGGGTGTTCTTGAACTTAACCTTTTAGTGAATGAATATGGGGTACCTAGTACCTCTTGTTATTAATTTTTTTTGTTTTCTAAATAAAAACACACAAACCATGAAATAAGTCTTTTTAGACCCCCCCCCCCAAAAAAAAAAAAAAGTCTAAAACTAATTGATAATTACATCATCCAGCAATTTTTAGATCCAGCTTCAATAAAACATAATCAACACCTAACGACCCACTGCCATCACGATGCTGCTACCCCTGTTATAAATGACAGGTCTCTGGCGGTGCTGAAATGTAAAAAAATGAAACTAAATTTGGACAGTTTGGTCACTGAACTGAAGTATGTATAGGCTGGGAATGCCAAGAATGTCATAGTTTACCTTTTGTTGATTCCTGGATCATCATGCTTTATAGTTTGACTGTTATATTGAAGCGGTATAGAGGCACCAAATAAATGGCAACCACCTCAATCTGTAACTGGCCTTTGCAGCAAGGAACACATGGAAAGGGCGAGGGGATGCACTGCATACCTTTGCTGCCATTGCACTATAGCTGGGTGTCCATTGCATTCCTACACCTCTAAGGAGGGGTGGGCTCCCTCCAGGCATGCCTGCCCTTAATCTGTCCATTATTATATATGTGCTTCAACTTTGGAGGTTCTCAAAATGTATATAGTTAGGACTGTAGATATAATGGGGTGCCATGACATAGCCTCAGCAGTTAACAAATGTATTAGCAAATGTGTGCAAACTAAACCCCTGTCTTTAACATGACCTGTTAGGATAATTCAGTTTGTTGCAGGCTGGCTAGTAAGTGAGCTGCAAATTTTTGTCTCTTTGTTTTTTTAAATAGAGGCACCAAAACAGTGCACATAATTACCCTAAGAAAAATTCACATTACTGGAAAGCTGAACAGATTGCTAGGAAGATGTATAATCTATCTGTGCCTTACATCATCACTGTATTATTCTTGTTTAGGGGCATTCTGCAGCAGAAAAGATCCATTTATTCTGCAAGACTAATTCAATCTACTGTGATCAAATGGCAAGTGGTTAAACAGTAACTCCACTTTTGTTGAGAAAAAAAAACATTCCCGTCTGGGTGGTCTATGTACATCACAAGGATTTTAACAAACTGTGTGTAAAAAAATGTTTATAACTGTACTGCTCTTTAGGGTCATAGGAGTATATTTACTATTGTAGTTCTGAGACCCCAAGTTAACTGATAGTGGGCAGAGCCTTCCCAGGATTGGAAAAGATCCCAGCAAAATTGTTAGGATCCACCCAGCTGCCTGATTGACAGCTGACTCCTGCCAGTGAGTGCTGGAGGAGCAGAGCAGAGAGCAGTAACTGAAAGTCACTGTTCATCACTCCAAAAGACTGAGAGCTGATTGATCAGTGGTAATGCAATCACTCTTTAAGATGGTCTGAGCAGTTGCAATGTCACTCTGATGCTGCAGCATGAACATGAGTATATATTCTTCTTTAACCATTTCCCGTCTGCGCATTCTACATAGACGGCGGACGGGAAGCAGCGCTGATGTGGGCTAACGTTCCTGTACATCAGCCTGCAGCTGGCTTGTACACGGCTCACAGAGCGCGCACCCCAGAGCCCGGTGATCAGTGTGTTTGGGGGATCACATGATGTTTTACCATGTGACTGCTGTGACCAATCACAGCAGTTACATAGTAAACGATTAAACTGAAAGTAAAGATCGCTTCTTTCAGTCTGAGAGCAGAGAGAAGCAATCCTGCAGTGTGTGAGTGTACAGCAGCCTGTCAGGTTGCTTGTACACTCACAAATTGCAGTGCAAGCCACCCCAGTGCCACAAGTGTCCCTGATCACTGCTACCACAATTCCCAGAATAAATAATGCACGGAGGCCCTGTCACCTGTCCCAGTACACACATAACACCCTCATACACCATACCATGTCCTGATCACCACTATACCACTGTCCTGATCACTGCCATACACCAAACCAACACCCTAATCACTGCCATACGCCATACCAGCACCCTGATCACTGCCATACGCCATACCAGCACCCTGATCACTGCCATACCCCATACCAGCACCCTGATCACTGCCATACCCATACCAGCACCCTGATCACTGCCATACCCCATACCAGCACCCTGATCACTGCCATACGCCATACCAGCACCCTGATCATGCCATACCCATACCAGCACCCTGATCACTGCCATACGCCATACCAGCACCCTGATCACTGCCATATGCCAAATCAGCATCCTGATCACTGCCATATGCCAAATCAGCATCCTGATCACTGCCATACTGAATACCAGCACCCTGATCACCGCCATACACCATACCAGTACCCTGACCACCACCATACCCCATACCAGCATCCTGATCACCGACATATACCTTACCAGCATCCTGATCACTGCCATACCCCATACCAGCATCCTGATCACCACCATACCAGCATTTGATCAGTGCCATACCTCATACCAGCATCCTGATCACCACCGTACACCATACCAGCACCCTGACCACCACCATACCCCATACCAGCATCCTGATCACCGACATATACCTTACCAGCATCCTGATCACTGCCATACCCCATACCAGCATCCTGATCACCACCATACCAGCATTTTGATCACTGCCATACCCCATACCAGCATCCTGATCACCCCATATGCTATACCAGCATCCTGATTACCACCATACCCCATAACAGCACCCTGATCACCGCCATATACCTTACCAGCATCCTGATCACTGCCATACACCATACCAGCATCCTGATCACCCCATATGCCATACACCATACCAGCATCCTGATCACCCCATATGCCATACACCATACCAGCATCCTGATCACCCCATATGCCATACACCATACCAGCATCCTGATCACCCCCATATGCCATACCAGTGTCCTCATTACCACCATACCCCATACCAGTGTCCTGATCACTGCCATACCCCATACCCCATCCTACCATACCCCATACCAGCATCCTGATCCCCACCATACCCCATACCAGCACCCTAATCACCCCCATACCAGCATTCTGATCAGTGCCATACCCCACACCAGTGTTTTGATCACCACCATACCCTATACCAGCATCTTGATCAATGCCATACCCCATACCAGCATCCTGATCACCTACTTACCACATAACAGCTCCCTGGCTACTGCCATACTAGCATCCTGATCACCGCCATACCTCATGCTAATGTCCTTATCATCATCATCATCATACCCCATACCAGCATCCTCATCACTGCCATATGCCATAGCAGAGTCGGGCATTTTAGGATCTCAAGTGATCAATTTTCAAATATACTGTATATCCCATAGTTTGTAGACTCTATAGCTTTCACACAGACTAAATATAAACCGTTTTTAGGGTTATTTTTTACCCAACAAATGTAGCAGAATACATTTTAGCCTAAATTTATGAAGACAAATTATCTATTTGCTAAATTATACATTTTATACCAAAAACTAAACAAAAAATTATTTTTTTTCAAACTTTTCAGCATTTTTTCATTTATATAGAAAAAAAAAAAAAAACCCACTGATGATCAAATACCACCAAAATAAATGTCTATCTGTCTCAAAAAAGGATTAAAATTTCATATGGGTACAGTGTTGCATGAGTAATCATCACTCAAAGTGATAGTGCTGAAAGCTAAAAATTGGCCTGGACTGGAAGGGGGTGAAAGTGTCTGGACTTGAAGTGGTTAAAGTGAAATTTTGGCTAAGCAGCTAAATACTCAATGGCAATAAGACAAAAAAGGGGGGAAAATGTCGGTGCGTCTTATGGAGCGAATATAAAGCGGCCGGTCCGATATTTCTGCCGCCACCACCATGTCAGAATACTGGGCCGGCCGCTCAGCTGTTCTCTCCTGCTGGGCCTTACCTGTTCCTCGCTCCAGCGCTGCACAGCCTTCCCGCGCTGGCTTCTGTGACAGCTGGGTGCCCACTGCGCATGTGCTGCGCTTTGTGAATGATCCGGTGTCTTCTGGGACACATCACAGGTCCCAGAAGGCGCCGGGCCATTCACAAAGCGCCGGTCTTCTCGCGCATGCGCAGTGGGCACCCGGCTGTCACAGAAGCCGGCCCGGGAAGAAGAGGGAAGGACAACTCCGTGGAAGTGGGAGCGGGTACCTGTCAAATTCAGGTACCCGCTCCCCCTCTCTCCCCAAAGGTCAGCAGTCGCTGGTCATTCCCTGCACTGTCCGCAGTCGCTGGTCATTCCCTGCACTGTCCGCAGTCGCTGGTCATTCCCCCTGCACTGTCCGCAGTCGCTGGTCATTCCCTGCACTGTCCAGCAGTCTCTGGTTGTCACGATCTGGGTCAGGTTCAGAGACCAGTTGCTACAGCACTGTTGTAAGGCTTACCTGAAACCAGCAGGATTGGTACACCAGCGGCCCACCCTGGGAATGACGCAGGCTCACCTGAGGTGCGGGGTCTAAGCATCCCCCCCGGTCTTCCCCAGAGCTCCTAATGGTGGAGATGGATTTGGCTGCGTGTGAATGCCAGGTCGCAGATCTCAGGATCACCCCACCAGGGAATGAGTAGGCTGGAAACCAAAAGCGGATCAAACAGTTCAGGGATCAAACAGAAGTGGAGTCAGTCACAAGCCGACGGTCGGTCACCAATGGTAGTAGATAGGATGAGGCAGAATCGTAGTCAGTAGCAAGCCAAAGGTCGGTAACGTAGAGGAAGACGGCAGCAGGAACAGTAAGCGGGATATTGGCTGCTAAGGCACAATAATCTGGCAACCAGTCAGGAAGTGCAGACATGGCTTTTATAGGAAGTTCATGGGAGGAGCAAGGAGTTCAAGGTTCAAGACAAAACAGGGCAAAGGCAGGATCATCCAAAGAATTGTCAAGGGAGCTGTCCAGCATTCCAGGTGGCTCAGTGAGAAGAAACACTGTTTCTCACCACAGAAGGCCCAGGTTCGATTCCAGGCTCTGACACTGGTCATTCCCTGCACTGTCCACAGTCTCTGGTCATTCCCTGCTCTGTCCGCAGTCTTTGGTCATCCCCTGCACCGTGTCTGTAGTCTCTGGTCATCCCCTGCACTGTGTCTGCAGTCTCTGGTCATCTCCTGCACTGTGTCTGTAGTCTCTGGTCATCTCCTGCACTGTGTCTGCAGTCTCTGGTCATCTCCTGCACTGTGTCTGGCAGTCTCTGGTCATCTCCTGCACTGTGTCCGCAGTCTCTGGTCATCTCCTGCACTGTGTCCGCAGTCTCTGGTCATCTCCTGCACTGTGTCCGCAGTCTCTGGTCATCTCCTGCACTGTATCCGCAGTCTCTGGTCATCTCCTGCACTGTGTCCGCAGTCTCTGGTCATCCCCTGCACTGTGTCTGCAGTTTCTGGTCATCCCCTGTACTCTGTCCGCAGTCTCTGGTCATCTCCTGCACTGTGTCCGCAGTTTCTGGTCATCTCCTGCACTGTGTCTGCAGTCTCTGGTCATCTCCTGCATTGTGTCCGCAGTCTCTGGTCATCCCCTGTACTGTGTCTGCAGTACATTGGTTCAGAATATTTTTTTTTCTTGTTTTTCGCCTCTAAAACCCAGGTGCGTCTTATGGTCAGGTGCGTCTTATGGAGCGAAAAATACGGTATATACAAATGATGACAGGCAAAATATTACTTTACAATATACACTTAATAAAAGAAAGTATTTTGTATTATATATTTTAGATTATTTATTTTATATGATTTTTATATTGATTTATATTATTTTTGTTTTGGGGGGGCTTCTGTCAAGGGGGTCCAAAGCAGTCGCCTTTTTTGCCCCTTATAATATTCTGCACTGCCTATCTAATGGTTCCACTGGCAAGATCAACATACATAGAAAATGTTTGAGGGGGTACCTAAAAAAACAAAGAGAAAAACACATTATTTCATAGTTTGATCACAGTTTTACTTTAAAATCTAAGGTTTGACTAAGAGGGATTAGCCCAGTTTAATGTGCCAGAACAATTAGTAAAAATATGTACATTTAGCATATAATTTCTGATTAGAAGCAGCAGAGCAGAAGCACTCCCTTACATGTGGCAATGCCTAGACACAATTTATTCTTCTAGCTTTACAAGGAACCTATCAATGAGGCTGTCGGAAATCAGCAGTACTGACATACCAAAAAGATGACAAAGGGGGAGCAAACAAGCATGTAATTCTAAACAAAAAGGCAATTGCTAATGATACACAGTAGTGAACTAAATGTTTTTTTTTTTTTAAGATTTACTATTATCTACTTTCATCCAAATATAATTATCTACTTTCATCCAACAGTGAAATAAAATTACATTCCGTTTTTCTGCACTGACCCTGTACACTCTAGTGATTCTACCTATATTGCTTTGGGATAGTTTATTTTATACTTAAAGTGGTATTAAACCCAAACTCAAAAAATTTTATATTTTGCAGCTAGCCAATCTTTAGATGTGGTAAATGTATTAGTTTTCTTTCTTTTAGACTTTTCCCCTCTGTTTTTCTCCTGGTGATCTGGCCAGTAACACATATCCTGAGTACTGCTAACCCCCTTAAGGGATGCTGAGTTTGATGGGTCCCCCTAAGCTCTGCATGGCCAGGCAACACGCATTTTCCACATTTTCACACACAGAGTCAGTAAAACAGTTCTTGAGCTTGGTTTTGTTGTTTTAATACGGGTTAACAATGTGGATGCAGTATAGAGGTATATGGGATGCCCAAAGACCTGTAAAACTTGAGGACCTTTTGTTAGTTAACACTGTACAAAAATATGGACCAAAGAATAGCAGCAACTGTTTCTTTAAGAAGCTTTGATGTCCCCTTTGGTGTACCTCCTCAGACCCCAGATGCTCATACCCCTGAGGTTATCCATGGGCAAGGGATTCCAAGTTCTGCAGTTAAGCAGTCCTGAATGAGAACTAGTTGGGTATTGCACCTGACCGCCCCCTGTCCTGTCCTGTCAGCTTGATGGGTTGCAGCTGCTTTCAGGCCTTACACTGGGCTGGCTCCTTCTCTGCTGACAGGATTTCCTTCCTAAGAGACAGTGGTACAGTGGATATCCTACCATCCAGCACCAACCTGCGGGTAGGCCCTCCTCCCTGGGACCCCCTCCCAGGCTCCGCACTCCAGCACCTTCTCTCAGTCATTTTCCACCAAACACAACAATTCCCTACTGCACGGGTTCTGCCAAATTTAAGGGTTGCTCTTAGCCACCATGCCCCGCCTCCTGCCTGGAGATTGGCCAAGTTCCCTTAGATATGCAGATCTAGGCCCCCTCCTCTCCACCACTCTTCCATAAAGATCCAGAAGTTTCTGGAAGGGTGGGAGGACTCTAGAAGCTCTACCAGTTACAGCAACATTTTTGGATGGATAAAGGTTTCACATAGAAAAATACAAGCTGATCATTGTAAGCACACCTGTCCATGGTAAATAGTTTGTCTAATCCCTCAAACTGCTACATCTGCAGAACAGCTTGTTCTGTTTAACCATTTTCCGCCTGGCCTATAGCCATATGATGAACTCCCACAAATGCGCCTCTAGCGCCCCACGGGCCACATTGCAGTGAGATTTGTCACCCACTGTGACCAATCAGTGTACAGGCCTCTGCCAGTACCATGTGGTTGTTGTGACCAATCACAGCAGATAACATGACAATTCATTTATGCCATCCATTGCGTACTATTGTGTTGATCTCTAAGATTGGTCAGAGTGATCACATGGTACAGACAGGTCCAATCACAGCCCATCTGTACCATGTGATTAGCTGTGGCCAATCACTGCTAACCACAATAGTAAACACTTAAAGAGTCAATTTAATTCAATAAAAATGGTTGCTTGTAAAATTCACTTGTATAACAATCATAATGTGTAAAACAAATCCTGATCACTTTTCCAGAGTAGTACAATGTTATTATGGTAACAGTATATTGCTCTGGTCACAGTGTTTAAAAAAAATAAATAAATAAAGTGAAAAAAACTTTTTTTTTTTAATTTTCATTAAATAAAATAGTGACAAAAAAATTACAACTTCAAAAAACTTGATATGCCTCTCACTAAATACCTTGGACTGTCTACTTTCCAAAAAGGGGTCATTTTAGGGATATTACTTGGTCCTGGCATTTTTGAGCTTCAGGAAATGAAATGAGGCCATCAGTACATCAGGATTGATCAATTTTTAAGATATATACCAGAGTTTGTGAACTCTATAACTTTCCTACAGGCAAAATAATAAACATTGATTTAAGTTATTTTCACCAAACAAAATATAGCAGAATACAGTTTGGCCTAAATTTAGGAAGAAAGATTATTTATTATATAGCAAAATTTTATAACAGAAAAAAAGAAAAATGCAGGAGTTTTTTTTTTCAAATTTTTTGGTCTTTTTTCATTTATTTAGCAAAAAATAAAAACCCAGTGGTGATTAAATTACCACCAAAAGAAAGCTCTATTTGTGTGAAAAAAAGATAAAAATCTCATATGGGTACAGTGTAGCATGACCATGCAATTGTCATTCAAAGTGTGAAAGCTGAACATTGGACTGGGCGGGAGGGGGTAAAAGTGCCAAGTAGGCAAGTAGTTAAACAAAGTGGGTTTCTGGTAGAGGTGTAGAATTTTAGTGTTTTCATTTTATATTCATTTTTTTTTTCTTTTGTGATAGGACCTTTTTTTAAGTTTAGGGTTGGCAATAGTAAGGTCTTGCAATTGTAAGTTTGCATTGTAATGCACTGCTGGGGCTAAATGAAACAAGCAGTTTTAAAGCAAATCTTTAAAGCCATGCTGATGCAAAATTGCCTATTACTGCTTTACTTACTTTTTTGGTTTCCATTTCTTGGTTTTCCAATGGTAACATAGCCCCGGCAACACAGATGCCCACTGGGAAGGTAACATTACCATTGCCTTCAGGGAAAGATCATACTAAAATTGCAAGATCTCATGAGATCTCACAACATTGTCATACTGTGCATGTGCGAGATGAAGTGCATGACACCATGTACCTCAGTTTGCGAATGTGCCATATGAAATTACAATAAAATGAAAAAAAATAATTTTGTGAGATCTCTGGGGAGAGTTTTTGTATTGCAACAGATGCATTTAATGTTTAATGTTGTGTAGCACATACAAAATGTGGTGCATGACCTCAAGTGCTTCATCTCATGCATGTGCAGTATGAACTCGTTGGAATGGGGCAGCATAGAGTCAGGAAGAAAGTTAGTTCAAATGAAAAAGTTACTTGGATATAGGAAAGTATACTTGTTTTTTTCCTCCCTTTACATTATTTCCAGTTTTAAAGAGCAAGGGGGGAGGTATTTAAGTAATGCAGCAGCCTTTCACACATGGGACACACTTCATTAGAGGTTTTTAATTGGTACATAATTTTTTCCTGGAATTCAGCTTTTGGCTGCCCTTTGTTTGCAACATGCAGTCGCATCATTTAAAAGAGAAATAAAAAAAAAACAAACCATAAGAACATTGTGCACCTAAACCACCTCACATTCACCGTAATCTCTATTCCCATAGGTATATTAAAAGTTACTGGTTAAACAGAGTTCCGGCCCCTGCCACCTCCCCCCAAAAAATTAAAAGTCAGTAGCTACAAATACTGTAGCTGCTGATTTTTTATATTAGGGCACTTATCTGTCCATGCATTCAGCGGTGTCCTTACCTTAAGCCAATTTTGCATTCAGGTGCTGGAGCCGCCATCTTGACTAAGGGAAATTGGCAGTGAGGCCTTGCAGCTTCACCGCTGGTTTCCTACTGCACATGTGCAAAGTGTGCTGTGCTTTGTGAGTGGGCCGCAGTCCTCTGGGACCTTGGAAGTGTCCTAGAGGGCTGTGGGGGGGCCGAACTTCGGCTCAGTTTGCTGTGGTGAACTGAGCCGGAAGTGGGAGCCGGTACCCGTTCCCCCCTCCCCCCCAAAAGTTGCCAAATGTGGCAGCGGAGGGGGGGGGGGGGAGGCAGAAAAGTGGAGCTTCCATTTTTGGGTGTAACTCCACTTCAAGCATATAATCCCTGATTAGAGCAATGCTGCTGCTGGACAATTTCATCATGCTATATCCTTTGCAGTATCTTAATTCTTGTGGTAAAATCTCTGCCTGTGCTCTTTTCTCTTTAGTAAATTGTCAAGGTCCTACCTTTTCCCAGAGGTTATGTTACTCCATGTGCTGGCATCCATCTTGGATTTCTGCTGAGCATGGTGGGAATCTTTTATGCCTTCAGGTCTCTGAGGTCCATCCCCCAGAGGGGTGTGGCTGAGTACATATAAGCCTGTGATCCGCACATGCTCTTTGCACTTGTGTCTTGTGTCTTTGTCTTGCTACAGCTCTGTGTATA